GTCTCCAATGAAGACTAAATTTAAGAGGAAGAGCAAGTGCAAGATTAATCACCATCAACCACCAAGAAATCTAAGAGTTAGAAAATCATTAGAAAAGACACGAGAGTTACGGTTATCACCTAGGATGGAAATATAACGTGCAGAGTCATTATACAAGCCTTGTTTTGTTGATGATTACGGGACGTAATCATCCTAAGAGGGAGATAACTGTAACGCCCGCAAATTCGAGCTAGTCAATTTAAAGATAATAAGAGTCAAAAATAACTTTTTGATAGAAGATTATTTAAGAAAAATAATATTAACAAAATTTATAGTGTTTGTGACAAGGATTCTGTACGTATAAAGAACGTTAAAATCCGACTTCATATAAAGAAGTTATGCTTCTTCGAAATTTCGCGATTAAACCGCCACAACTCTGCTTATCGTAAAAATTGAATTTTGATAAATTAATGTTTAGCCTAAGAGGTCTAAACGGAAGTTGTAGTAGTTGTTAAACCGAGAGCATGCATATAGAGAACGTCTAAATCTTACTTCATTAGAGGAAGTTACGATTTTTCTAAGATTCAGTGTAGCAATATACAACTCAAAAATCGAATTTTAGATCAGTCGATTTTTAGCCAAAACAATCTAAACGAAAATTAAATATCTCGTTAATAGGATTTCAATGATAGAAAGACACTCGAAAACGGGCGTCAGATTACAAAGTTATGAATTTTTAACAAACTTTAACTGTTTAAGACTGTTAAAGTATAACTTTAAAAATAAAGTAAAAATTAGCCGACAGAGTCTAAACGAAAGTTGTAGATCTTGTGGATAGCTAAAAGTGGATATAAAAAACATAAAAACGGAGCTCGTATGCGAAAGTTATGGATTTTACAAGATGATTAATTTTCGGATTAACAAGAGTGCGACACGTGTCGCGATCTGGAACACCGCTTTTTCCCCACAGCTGGCCATCAGATGATGACAAGTGGCCCCATTACGCCCAACATAAGTTGAGCACCCCAACATACCCAGTACGCCCAACGCACTGGGCCTCCTAGCAACCTATAAATAGAAGGTGATTTTCACTATTTGCTTCACACATTTTCATCCAATCTCTTCCAAAACCCTCCCATGGTCCCTATGCCTTTCTCTAGCACTTCTTAAGTGTTAGTAGCAAAGCTAAGAAGCATTACAAAGCCCCGAGAAATAGAGCTTTTGATTTAGAAGTTATGCCCACACAAAGTCCAGTTTTTTGCTAAACCACTGGTAAGTTGAGTTATATTTACGATGCTTTAAGTATAACTTATGTTTAAGTTCATTTATCGTTATTATGAACCTATAAACAAGATTTATCGGTGATTGCAATTCGTTATACTAATTGATCTACTTACGGGGATGATGACAAGGCTAGATTTAGTAAGGTGTTTAAAGTGAGCTTTCCAAACAGTATACTATGTATACCAAATAGACCCTACTTCCGATATGATCTTACCTGGTTAATTCTTATCAGCTATAGATCAGTAGACTTTGAATTAATGATGAATCTATACTAATAATTAGTCGCAGGAAATATTAAACTAAGACTTAGTGATAATGATACTAGGTTACGTCAAAGGAAAAGATAGTTGCTAGAAGCGAAGCGTTGTCCGAGTTTCGAGTCATCAGTTTAACAAGTGAGTGCATAGTCCCTTTCAAGAACATGATTTTAATACAATTATTAATTAAAGTATTAAATATTTGTTAAATAGTTAATGTGTGAGATACTTTTTATTGCCTGGAATACATGTTAATAACATATCTGATAATAGATGGTTATTTATGACATAGAAAATAGACCTAAATTAATTAAGATGAATATCAGGTAGTATCTCCTTAAGAGTACGGGTGATATATACACGGAGGGTAGAACTCCAACATTTGTCTTTGATCCGAGAGCATGGATTAGACTAAGGATGAGATTTAGAACCGGAAAACCGGACCGGAATCGGAATCGGACCGGAACCGAAACCGTTAGAACCGGTTCCGGTTCCGGGTTTAAAAATTGGCTTTATCCGGGTTCCGGGTAATCTGGGTTTGGGTCCATCAGGTCCGGGTAAACCAGGTCTAAAAACCGGAACCGGTGTTAGGAATCGGAACCACTTTTAGGGTCGGAACCGGTTTTTGTGAAACGTTTAAAAGATGCATATCTCATTCGTTTCAAGTCCGATTGACATGTGCTTTTTCCAACGTGTAGTTTAGAGTTTGTACATGATTTTAGACTATAAATTTGCCATTTTTAGTTTTATATTCATTGACTTATAGCCCCCCAAAGTCGAAATATCAAAGTTGAAAGTTTTAGTTTTTTAGTTTTTTTTATTCTGTGAAAGTTTTAAAACACGCATATCTAATTCGTTTGAAGTCGGATGGACATGTGGTTTTTTCAACTTGTAGTTTAGAGTTTGTACATGAGTCTAGACTATAATTTTGTTATTTTTGGTTTAATATTCAATGATTTACAGTCCCCCGAAGTCGGGATATCAAAAACTGAAAATTTTCAACTTTTTAGCTATTTGTTTTTGTACTTTCTATTATGTGAAAATGTTAACACATGCATATCTCATTCGTTTAAAGTCGTATTGACATGCGGTTTTTTCCAGAGTGTAGTTTAGAGTTTGTACATGATTTTAGGCTATAATTTTGTCAATTTTGGTTTTATATTCAATGAGTTACAATCCCCCAAATTTGGGATATCAATATGAAAATTTTCGAGTTCAACCTACTAAGTAGTAAGTAATTACCAAAAAATTCCGGTTTTTCCGGTTCTAAACCCACTTTATCCGGTTCCAACCTACCCACTTTGATGTTTCCTGGTTTTCCGGTTCTAGACCCACTTTACTCGGTACCGTGCCCGGAACCGAACTGGAACCGGTTCCTATATACCGGTCCATTTTTCGGTTCTACAAAATCCCGTTAATCGGTTATGGGTTTTCCGGGTCCGGGTCCATCCGGTTCGGGTTTGGACCCACTTTCATCCCTAGATTAGACATAGTCATTCGTCCCTATTCCTATACTATGAATTAGGCATATTCATTTGTCATTAATCCGAGAGCATGGATTAGACATAGTCATTCGTCCCTAGTCTGAGAGTATGAATTAGGAATAGTAATTTGTCATTATTACGAGAGCATGGATTAGACATAGTCATTCGTCCCTAGTCCGAGAGTATAGATTGGGTATAATCATTTGTCATTGATCTGAGAGCATGGATTAGACATAGTCATTCGTCCCTAATCTAAGAGTATGAAGTAGGTACAGTCATTCGTCCCTAGTCCGAGAGTATGGATTGGGCATAGTCATTTGTCATTGATCTAAGAGCATGGATTAGACATAGTCATTCATACCTGATCTAGGAGTATGGATTAGTAAAGCCATTCGTTTTAGATATGAAAGTATGGACCGTGTCGTTGTGAGGAACGATGGGGTGGGATAAATTGCTTATATGAGGTGAAATTGTATCTTGCGAGTTCTGAAATATATACATGTTATAACATCGTGGGATTGAAATCCCTATGTACTCACCAGGTTTTCCATCCTGACCCAATCAGTTTATTATATCACAAGTAGCGATATAAAATATACATTCTGTTGAGAGATTCAAGAAGTATTAGACCAATATTTTAATTACTGTAAGGCTTGTAATATTTCGTTATGCTTATGTTTCTGTATTGACGATGACACCCAACGTTTTAATATAAATAAAATACATTTCTTGAGAAATGCTTTGATAATATAATTATCATGTTTTTGGGAACAAATTCCACAATATTATTCCTCAAAGAGGATAGTATGATTTTAAATAAGCATAAAAAAATCTTAATTTTCTGGCTGTGAAATTGGGGATATCACAAAAATACCCGTAGTATCGACATAAACAATATTATATACCATGTGCTAAGCATCAATCAAACATCCAATATCTTATAGATCGTTAGGGAAGATGTAAAGGAATCGATATGTCCACATGATTTTGTCAACATCACCATTAATCTCAACCTATTCGATTACTCTCCAGCTTACATAAACATCAATTTCCTTTACGAATGTCCAAATTCTTTCAATCTCCATGGGGCCCCTCTTGATTCTTTATCTTGTGATCACATGGGATTGATAAATTTATTGTTTTGCCCGAAGAACAATGCCCTATAATCTATAATAACAATGTAATTATGTTGATTCTTGTAATGGTAGTTGAATCCACATGTATGGTAATTCAATCGGTTTTGGATCAAGTTCTCGGGGAAGGATTTAAGGTTAATTACGACTCTTTGTTTGCAGAAAATGGAAGAAAAAGGTATACCATCAGAGAAGATGAAACTCACAAAAAAGAAAACGTGTTGACTGTTTCAAGCAAAGGATTTGCTACCAATTTTCCGACAAGGATACTTTATTCTTCCTTAAGAATATAATTGGGAACCAACACGCCTATTTCAGAACTAGGTTTTTTATTTGTGATGAACTGGAAGCAACTACATATGGTTTTGACGATTCATAAGAACTTGGAGATTGTGGTTTTGACATTGTTTACTATGGTAAGTTGATCGATGGTCGAGAAGTGGTAATGAAATGCTTATACAAGAAGAACTTCAAGCGGGTGTAAAGAAATCGAGGGGTGCAATTTGGGGGTTTTATAGATGGGTTGAAACTAAATTTAGGTGATGAAGTTCGAAAAGAGGGAGAGAGAGAGAGAGAGAGAGAGAGAGAGAGAGAGAGAGAGAGAGAGAGAGAGAGAGAGAGAGAGGAGGATCTAATTTAGTCAATCTATTAAATGAGATGACATAATGGTAACCGGTTTACCCTTCCATTCTTCCAAAATGACCAATTATACCATATAAAAATAATCTTATGCCCCTTGAAGCACCAAAAAAAATTTAGGGATTGATTAAACCAATTTCAAAAGCATTATAGGGCTACAATTTCATTTTCCTTTATTAAAAAAAACATTTAATTGAAGTTCTAATTTTTTTAATATTATTGATTATTACATGAGTAATAGTAATTTATATTTATAATATATGTCATTTCATTACCGTTAGAAATGAAAAAATAAACTCTTCCTACACATAATACAAAGCGAGGTGGAATGACTTGTCCACTGATGACGTCTAGTCCAGCAAATGGTGAACTTAGATCATCACACATCCATGCATCCCAAGATTGAAAATGGTGTCAATGCGGCTATTTATGCCCTTGCTTGGACCATATGGAAGTGGTCAAGTGGAGGAATGATTGTATAGAAGCATTAAAGACCTTGTCAGCGACATAAACAATTTGGCCCTTAATTGAATTAAAAGAGCCGCGAGAGGTTCTTGTATTGATTGGAATAGATGGCTTAGCTACCCAAAGTCTCAATGTTTAATGCCTTGCATCAATTAGCTTCTCGCCAACTTCATTCAATAACTGTTGATGTTCTAAAAAAAGAATAAAAGATGAGTAGAAGAATAACATTCCATGATAACTTCTCCGTTACATTTCTTCTTCGTAGCAAACAAACATGATTTTTTCATTCCGTAGTAATATTCTATTCACCACCATTTAATTATTGTAGACTTGAATCTATCTTAATAGTGATTTCTATGGAAACGAACAAATACATATTTTAGATATTTAAATCTTGTTGTTTTTCAAATGGTTCTAATGAGTCCCAGTTTAAACTTTAGAAAGAAATGGTTTTCAAATTATATGATCCATCGGAAAATAAAACAAACAACCCTAAATTGATAAAAAAAAAAAAAGATTTGACACACATACTTGCAAGTTCATTGAAAAGCTTACAACCTTACGTTAATGAATCACTTATTTTTCTTTTGATTTATAGATGAAGCAAACATCGTATTGATTTTCCAAGAACTAGCAGTTGGAAAGCTTGGTCGATGTTGTTAAAGGGAAGCTCGTGGGTAATAAACTCTTCCAATTTTATCCCATCCTAAAACAACGAGTCCACATTCACATACTATCGATCATACATACATGCATACATACACACATACATACAAACATACCTGATGCATACATTGGTCAGCAAAGAGAGGGAGTTGGGATTTCCCTTTGAAACCACCGAACACTGATCCTGTGATTCTTCGTCCATCAAACAGCTCCATTGGATGCAATGGCAACATTCTTGGTGTTAGATGAATCCCCAATACTATTGTTAGTCCCCATCCCTGTATACAAATACCAAATAATTACTATATAATCAAGTTTAATTTACATCGGAATAGTCAAGGTCAAAAAATGGCATAAAGATGCTTAACGTCATGGGTCGACAAGAAGGCTTCCCGAAGAACATCAAGATTTCCTACACACTCGAAGCTGAAGTCTACCCCTCCTTCCGTCATTTCCCTTATTTTCTGTATGCATTCCATCACTATTCAATCTCTAATATAAGTTAACATTTTTCTTAATCGACTTTATATAAATGACACGGAATACTTGAGAAAAGTAGCATTTTATGATACACACATATACTAGCTAGCTAATTACCTCATGTGCCGACATTTTAAGATCCCTCGGGTTTATAAAATGTGTCATTCCCATCGTTTGACCTATAAATATAAAACTGAATAAGTTAATATATCATGCATGCATGTAAGTATATTTAGTTTTTGAATGAAAAGTTTATCATATACATGCATGCATGCATGTATTAGACCACCACCAATCAGGATTAAATGAGAAGTTTAATGAATAAAAAGTGATGATGTGGCCAAATAACCCACTATTGTAACCTTAATTTATTGAATAAGAGTTCAATGGTGATTGAACGGGGTATTGTGGATTTTAAAGTGTTTATATATATATATATATATATATATATATATATATATATATATATATATATATATATATATATATATATATATATAAAATTTATTTTTTATTCAGTAAATTAATTTATTAAGTTAATTAAAATGATATATATTAATTTTCTAGGTAAATATATTTTGTTTATAACTTACTTTTTAAATGTCTAAACAATAATTTGTTTTCTAACTATTCATAATGAAATTACATATTATTAAAATGTTCCCAAGTATGCCCTATTAAATCATGTCGAAGAGCATGATTACCCCACCATCATGTAGCTTAAAGTTTCTTTGAATCTAATATTGAATTTCTTCGATAAGTTCTTGAATCACGCGTATTACAGGATTAATACCATTGTACATTTATTTAATATACTATTTGTAACTTGTAATATTTAATTAGTAATTTCTATCTTTTAATTCCTAATTAATCTAATATTTTAGTTTTATGTTTTAATAATACTTATAAAAAATATAAAAATATGGTGATATGATATTTCACTAAAATTTAATAGAGTTTAATGGAATGTAAATATTAATATATAAAATATTATTAGTTAATGAAATGTTGATGTGCCAATTTATTCAACTCTTAAGACAATTCATGTATGGATGTATATATATTATATTATAAAGGAATTGCTTTACCACATGTGTTTGAAAGCCTCAAATTCTTCGTATTTCATTATAATATATCTATTTTATTAATTTAAATGTGTTATTAAATGTGAAATATTATCAAATTAGAGGTATATTTTTGAATTATCAGTTATAATATAATTAAAATGTTAATTTAATTATTATGATAAATCCAATATATATATATATATATATATATATATATATATATATATATAAAATAAACATAAAAATATTCAAAAACTTTTTTTAAACGGTTCAAAATGTTTAAGTGTTTTAAATGTAAAACTAAATCGGCATGTTAAATTAACTAAAAACGAAAACAATTTTTTTTATAATAATTGAAAATTTCCCAAATAAATGGTTTTTAAATTAATTACAATAATAATAATTAAAAATAACATAAACTTATAAATTACATTATGTTATCAAAACTCAAATAAATAATATCTAAATTAATTAATCATAACAATTAAAGTAATATTAAGTTGAAATTAAATTTAGTTTTAATCATATGTCAATTGCAAGTAACGACCTTAAATTATATGATTTTAATAGATGTTATAATATGATTTGAAATCTTTAAATTTTAACAAAAGCAAATTAATGCAAGAAACTATTATTATATAGTTAATTATTTTTAATATGTATTTGTGTAAGTTTTAAGTATAAAGTTTTACTCTAGTTGCAGTGTATATAACATACCTTTGATATGCTTGTCCGCATTAATATCGACTCCTATGATTTTAGATGCTCCTATTGTTTTGGCCCCTTGTATGACCTGATATCAGACGTTCCTCATTCAAAAAAAAATGAAAATTGATTTCACCAAATCTTTGATCTATTAATATTATTACCGCCAGTCCCACGGCACCCAGGCCAAAGACTGCGACTGTTGAACCGTGTTGAACGTTGGCAGTATTGGTTACAGCTCCAAATCCTTGACACAGATATTTTAATCGTTGGACTTATGTTCAAATCAATAGGTTAATATTTGATTATGATCGAAAATAACTAACGAATATGTGTATATATTGACTAGAACCTGTGGACAGACAGCAACTAAGTAAAGTCATCTTGTCAAGGGGAGCTTTTGGATTGATCTTAACAACACATGCCGAGTCCATGACTGTGTACTCGCTAAAAGTGGATGTGTTGAGAAAATGGTAAATGGGTTTCCCGTCTTGCGTTGAGAACCTGGTCTTCTCATCATTCCTCATCACGCTTCGTGATGGATCCACGCGAAACTTTTCACATAGATTGGTGCTTTCAGACTTGCAATAAGCACATCTACGACACTCGCCATTGAAGATAGTGAGAACATGATCTCCTTCCTTCATATCCTGCACACCCTCGCCTATACACTCGACCACCCTACCAATCGATCCACACATAACATAACTCACTTACCACAACTAGCAATGTAAAATTTAATAAATACTTACATTAACCCAAATTAAAATTCAAGTTATTACCCGGAGGCTTCATGTCCAAAAATACGAGGATACACTCGTTGTGATTCATTCTACATGTGATTAATTATGTGCATATATTAATAACTAAGTGTAAATGATATGTATATCAATATACATATGTTAGTTACAAACGTACCTGGCCTTGCCACGCACTAAGATCAGTATGGCAAACTGAGGTGTACAAGATTTTGATTCGGACTTCCAACTTCTGAGGTGGTTGGACACGAATTTGTTGTATGGAGAAAGGCTGTCCAGGACCCCAAGCCACAGCAGCTTCAGGCATCATGAATATACAAAAAGCTTCAGGCATCATGATTATTAAGATCGATATACCGCATAGAATTTACATTATCTAAACCAACCTGTGCATGTGATTTCTTTGCCCAAAACACCATTAGCTGGTTCTATGACGTTGTCCATCTGGCTGCGTTTAAATGATGTTAGTTAATGGAGGGAGTTTGCACTATATATATACATTATACAGTCAACTTTTGGCGTCTATTTCCAGAGTATACGTAGGGCAGCTTGAGCTATTGCGAATTCAATTCAACATAGACCATCCGTATAAGAATTTGTTTAATCATCTAGCTAGGTGGCTTCTGTGCGTATATATCCTATATGCTTGACTATTATATATATATATATATATATATATATATATATATATATATATATATATATATATATATATATATATATATATATATATATATATATATATATATATAACTCAAGAAAGAGACATATATCTAACCATTATCAGTTAGGTTGGGCTCATTAAAGACTGAGCTTATTTATTAGGACCATCATACACTACTAGAACACGGGAGTTATTACTACCGAATGAAAAGTGTCGTAGAGAGAGAGGATTCTTTAAAAAAATTGAAAAAAATAAAAAAAAAATACAAATAAATCGAGCATAGTACTACGTCGGAGAAAAAAATAAAATAATTTTTTTTTTATCATTAAAATTGAAGTACATATCATTTTTATTATCCATGTTAATGAAATAATTTTACAAACACGTATTTTTACAAAAAAAATGTATACAAACACCTATTTTATTATAAATGTATACAAACACGGATTATATAAAAATATATTCAAACACGTTTTAATAAAATGTATACAAACACGATTTCATAAAATGTATATAAACACGTATTATATAAAAAATTATTCAAACACGGTTTTATAAATTGTATACAAATACGATTTTATAAAATGTATACAAACACGTATTATATAAAAAAAATATTCAAACATGTTTTTATAAAATGTATACAAACATGATTTTATAAAATGTATACAAACACGATTTTATAAAATGTATATAAACACGTATTATATAAAAAATTATTCAAACACGTCTTTATAAAAGAAATGTAAACAATCACGATTTTATAAGAAAAATATACATTTTTTTTATAAAAACGGATTTGTATATATTTATATACTTAATAAATACCTATTTTTATAAGTAGATATTTCATATACAAAAAACTTTTAAAAAAAAGTTTTATATTGAAAATATAATATTTTTATATGAAAATATGTTTTTTTTTTGTATAAATATGATTTTATAAAGAAAAAACACATTAGAAACAAAATTTTGTGAAAAAAAATTGTAAAAAAAAAACTAAAGTTAGGATGAATTCATAATAAAATTCTAAAATTTAGGCAAAAAGGGTAATGTTTGGATCAAATTTGTAATAAAATTTAAAATTTGGGCCAAAAGTGTAAATTTTGGACCAAAATTGTAATAAAATTTGAAATCTGGGCCAAAAATGTAATTTTCGAAAATTGGATGACCTGTTGACCGGATCAAGGGATTAAATTGAATACGATTACCGGTATTTGGGACTTACTTGAATAAAAAATATATATAAGGACTAAATCGATTATGAGGTCAATATGTAAGGACTTTATTGCAGTTTTCCCTTAAAAATAAATGTAATTTTTAGCAATTGTAACATGTATTCTATAAGAATTAATGTAATTTTTGTTTTAATTCTTCAATTGATGGTTCGAGAACTTTGTTATTCTATAAGAAATTTTTAAAGTCATGATCAAGAATTATGTTCAAGAATATTTTTATTATTTTATGGTTCAAGAATATTTTTATTTTTGAACATACTCAAACATATTCTGTCAGAATGTCCGAACTAAAAACCTTATAATTTGTAAAATTAGATTTTTAAAATTAATAGAATCTTTGATCCCTTAAAATATGCAAATTTCCTTTATTAAATCTATGTCTGACTAAAATACAATTATAGTTAAATTAGATAATATTTTTCAATTATATTTAATTAAATAATATGTATTAATCACTTTCTTAAAATAAGTAAAAATGATTGGCCCACATTTATGCATACAATAACACAATAATTACTTTGAATAGAATAATATAAGCATATATATATATATATATATATATATATATATATATATATATATATATATATATATATATATATATATATATTAGAAAAGTTTGAGGCATGTGCTAAGCACGACCCATAGAAAGTAATTTGAGAATTTTTTTTGTGTAATCTAATGTCACACAATGAAGTTATGGTGATGTAGTTGAAGATTAATATGAAATAGCTTGGCATAAACATATTTATTAACATAACGTACATTATAAGTTTTATATTGCGAAGGTATCATTTACATTTTATTTACATATTCAACAATATAATATTCACACATTAATTTCCATTGGCAGTTGTTTATTGCTTCATCATCGGGTAATACATGGAAGGTAATACATGGATGGAATGAAGTAGGTGGCATGTCAACAACCCTTATAATAATTTAAATCGTGCATATAAATTATAAATTTCAAATCAGATTTAATATAAAACAAAATGTAGCTGTAATTTATGTTATATGCATTCCATATTTGAGTTGAAGATCAAGTGGAATTTTTGAGTGAAGTTGAATATTTACTAAAGTAATTTGACAAGTTACTATAATATTTTTCTAATTAGAAGAACATGATGATGGTGTTGCATTATATTTGAGTAAATAATGATTATGTTTCTGCAAATGTTGTCATTGTATGTAATTGATCTTCACATGAATTTTTATGAAATGAAAATGATTTGCAATGATATAAGTATTATACCTATTTGATTTTCTTTGTTGGTCTTGCAGAAGCGGGTGCATAAGTTTCTATTTCCTTGGATCTCTCGATTTGATGTTGGTTACGTTTTTGTGTTTGCTTAGATGAAGGTGATTTTGTTGATGATTGAGGTTCAGTTGGATTTGATGTTTCGATTTGTTGTTGGTTTTGGGTATGTGGTTGTTGAAGTTTATGTGCCTTAACAATGACATATCTTGTGGTTGTTTTTTGTTGGTGTTGTGTTTATATGATCGTACAAATGCTACAACTGATAATGATTGAATTGATGCTGCAATTTTGCCATGAGCATCTTCTCCCTGGTTCAATTAATGGGTTAGTTGTTTTGATAATGTATTTCTTTACATTTGGGTAAATTAGAAAATAGTTTGCTTACATTGTCTTCGGCATCTCTAACTGCATTTGGATTAAACGGAATGAAGGTTTCTATATCTGGAGTAGAAATAGTTGCACAAATGGATCTGCTCCCAGCATTGATATCAATTGTTGCTCTTAACATGTTTAAGGAAATACATGTAGTATTAATGTTTCGGTATATGATAATGTAGAGAAGTAGTAGACTTACATGATTCGGACTTTTGATTCAGTTTTGCAAGCAGGGCATGTGATGATCCAACGAACATCTGCATCAACTGGTTTCAAACAATTAGCACATCCTGTTTAGGTGAAACTCCTATCTTGATGTGGCAAATTGAGATTGCCTTTACCCATGTTACTTTACCCTATTTTAGAAAAAACAAATATGTTGATTTGGTATTTATCTTTGGAATAGAAAAGTTAATATTTCTCATTGATTTAGATTTGTGTACTAACATTTGTCATCCTTGTGATTGCAATAGGTATTGGATGTATATCCTCTTCTTTGGGATGTGGCAAAAGAATATTAGTATCTTTGTATGTTTCCCTTTGAATTAAGTCTTTTATTTCTTTGCTATTTTGTTGAAACCTGATAAATAGAATGAAGTTATCATTGAAATTAGTAGTTGGCTAATAGTTTTGTTAGAACATACCAGTTGTCTAGCCGTAGATCTGCGTTGACTGGGGGATTTATAAGGATTGAAGATCCATTACCTGTTGACAGTGATAGCCCTGCATTGTGAGTTACTTAATGTTTCTGATTTCTTCTATGTATAGGCATATATGTTGCGTATGTGGTTATAAGATTAGGTGACCGTACCATAGAAAGTTGTGATCTTCACTCTTATAGCAAATATCATTGGCGCACTGTGGGAGATTTCTTCTAATGCTTTTCCCTCATTCTTATTGAAGGAGTCCCATAATGTTAGTAGAAGAAGTATTTTCCTGATGATAGTATACATGAATGTAAAGTTTTAATAATTACTTTATCTATAAAAAATACAATAATTTTGGCTTGTTCTTGGTTAATTGTTTTACATACTCTTCATTAACAATAATCACATCTCTCTTTGATGATGTTTTTGTTCTTTGATTCATTTGTTCACTTGGAAAGCATTTAATAACGACGCTACGTACATCTGTGATATTAGAACAATAATCTTTAGTGAGTTTGTAGTAAGTGTAAGGTTGTATGCCAAATATGTAAAGTTTGTCTCACTTTGGTTGTTTTCTGCATCTACGTAAAGTTGAATAGGCATGGGAGTGTTGGAAAGGTTAGATCTGGTTGCGGTTCAACGAGGGTTTTTGGTAAGTGACCAGGAATGCTCGTATGACCCGAGTCGATATCTTGGTTCTGTCGGTATTAACTTTGCATTTGAAATGCGATAGCGTTTGTATTGTTGGAATGTGTTTTTTAAAAACTTGAGATAGTCACTAAAGATTAAGGCTGATACCTTAGTACCCTGTTAGATGTACACACGAATTAACATAATATACTTTAAACACACGCTGCAATGTAATGTTTTACCTGGGTATCAGTAAACATTAGTTTTCTGTAGTAATTTTTTGATTTGCTCTGTTTTGTATCCCCACATTCTAAAACCTGAATGATGACAGTCCATTTTTTGTTCAGGTTTGGAGTAATATACAATATGTTTGATAGTTCCCTCTCCGTCTTGTTATGGCTTCGCTTATTGTATCTGAAAATGTCAGATGGGTATTTTTGTATGCATGGTTAAGTTAATTTTGTACATGCATCGGTTAAGAAGTCAAAAGTAGTCGTTGAAGGAGATGTAAATTGATATTTATACATAGACTATCATTTTTGCAGAATCCAGTTATTATATCTGAATAATTATTAGAAATTTTTTGGTATTGTTTATGTGTTTATAGTTTATACGGGAAGCGATGTTTCACTTAATTACAAGAATAAAGAAGATGTGTATGAACACGAAAATAACATATCAATAATGTTATTCTGTAATGTTTGACATTAATCGCAGTCTAATGTCCAACGTTAATCGCAATGACATGAATGCTGATCGACAATTGAAACAGTACGCATAAACACGAAAATATCATACTAATAATGTT